AACTTCTTCCTAATGGAATAATCTAAACCGCCTGCGGCTATTTCGACTAACTCATGTTCTGGCACTTGTGTAAAGCATCTTGCTTTGAGCAACCTAAACCTATTTAGATATTCGTCTATAGGTTTAGTGAAACGTCTCTTTACACTGACCAATTCTTTCAGGCTTATCTTGGTTTGTCCCATGTAGAATTGCTCATGGAACAATCTCTCCAACTGGGTCCAATGATGGATCGAATTGGGGGGAAGAGTTGTAAACCAAGTAAAAGCGTTATTTGTTAAAGAACTTGGGAAGTACTTGATCCTCAGGTTTTCGTTGTTTGAAATATCTCCTGCTTTGATCAAGTATCTCGCCACATGTTCGACAGTAGATTCTGTCGTGTCCCCAGAGAATTTAGTGAACTTAGGGACTTTACATCTAGGAGGTAAGTCTGTTTGTAACACATATTCTAACAGTGGGGATGTGAAGTTGGGCCTACGAAAGCCCATGTTCATCCCATTTTGAGTCATGATTCTTTCGATCATGGCTGCCAGATTATTTTCCAAACCCATGTTTTGGTATTGGATGTGCTGAACCACTTCGTCAGCATTTTGGTGTCTGTTAACTAACCTTACCTCTGGGGCTATAACCCTAGGTTCTTCGACAGGCTGTTCCAATCGTGCCCTAAGGTTTTCTTCGACAGGCTGCTGGACTTGGTTGATAATGGCTTCTTCCTCTAAGAGTATACCTTGGTTTCCCCTTATTTGCGCCCTTTGGGGATGTCGAATAGGTTGGGGTACTCCAAAGAAATCAGCCAAACGCGCCATTTGCGCTGTCATCTGCTGATTCGATTGGGTGGTGTTTTGTATTAGAGGATTCAACACTGTACTTAAAGTTTGTGCCAACATTTGAACCATATCATGGTTGCTTTCGTCCATTTGTTGCCTCAAGACTGTTGTCGAGGCATTTGTAAGGCCATGTGCTACTTGGGACGTTCCTCCTAAGAGTTGGGTCCTATTTCTGTTCGCCATACCTACTCCAGAACCTTGGAGTGGCGAAGAGACACTCGCTAAAGGGTCTGAAAAAGTGGACGCAACGTTCGTCAGGCTAGCCAATTCAGACGTTGGCATGCCATAGAGTGGTTCTCGATTTTGACCGCCTGTCATAAATCCTGGGGGAACATAAGGCCTTGTTCCTGGATTTCCCCTTGGTGGGGGATTTCCTAAAGGCACTCTGGGGCCAGTGAACGGAGGTAATGGCCCCGTTGTTGTGACCGTTACTGCTGGTGTTGAACCAGCGGTTATCGCTTCACTTACGGTTGGGATAACCGTTGTTCCCACATTCGTTTGTGGGATTTCGTTATAGTTTGGCGGATTCGCCATCGCTTCTCTTCTTCTGGCAGTATTGGTATTGTTAGTGTATATTCTACCACTTCTCAATAACATGCAATACTTCTCGAAAGAGATGATATTCTGTGTAAAAAGGTTAAACTTCAAAATCAACACAAGGTCCCACCAGGTGTGCCAATTTGTTTACCGTGGGAATTGGTAAACAACCGCTGATCTTCCAAAAGGTTACTTATTTGGTGACTCGCAGGATCGATCAGATTGATCCTAAGACATGGTTGATTTTGGGGTTTTGACTAAGTTTGATAATGGTTAAATGACAAGAAAATAAAGAAGCTTTATGTAAATTGTATGAAGAAGAAAACTTGATAGAATAAAGAAAGGCTTGAAATGAAAGGCTTCGACTGGAAAAGTAAAGGAGAAAGCAAGTAAAGTTTCTGGAAAATAAATGACTTTGATTAATTAAAGTGGTGTTTCACACATACATTCTCAACAATTCTTTCTTTCACGCTGGGTACTCGAATCTATATGAGTAACTTGTATATATTTGTGAACACACGCGAAAAACTGCGTGAACTACTAATATTTATACTAAACACGTCCCAAGTAACCGTCGGGCAGTTACGCTGCTTCGAGATGACTCCACTTGGCACGTTCACAGCGTTCGACGCTCCAGATCTTGGCACGTTGCACTTGGTAACCGCTGGGAACCGTTTTCCCTCCAAACGTTTGAATCTCAAATCGTTCCACTCTGAACAATCGAACACCTTCGTCGAGAAGCACCTTCGACGTTGAAGGCAACAAGATTCCTACTTAGAAGAAATTCTCTAAGTACATTGCCATCTTCTGATGAGCATTTCGACAGACCCAGCTGGTCGAAACCATCCTTCAGCTTTAATAGCTTATATTAATAAAAACAAGGGTGTCGAATTTAGGAGCCAACACCTGTCGAAGAAAACCTTAGGGTACAAATGGAACAACCCAGGGTCGAAGAGCCTAGAGTCATAGCCCCGGAAGTAAGAATGGTTAATAGAAACCAAAATGTTGACGAAGTAGTTCAGCAGATCCAATACCAGAATATGGGTTCGGAAAATAAATTGACAGCCATGATTGAAAGAATCATGATGCAAAATGGGATGAATACGGGCTTCCGAAGGCCTAACTTTACGTCCCCGCTGTCAGAATATGTGTTACAAACGAACTTGCCTCCTAGATGCAAAGTCCCTAAGTTCACTAAGTTTTCAGGGGACACGACAAAATCCACTGTCGAACATGTGGCAAGATACTTGATCGAAGCAGGAGAGATTTCAAACAATGAGAACCTGAGGATTAAGTATTTCCCAAGTTCCCTAACAAAGAATGCGCTTACTTGGTTCACAACTCTCCCCCCCAATTCGATCCACCATTGGACCCAGTTGGAGAGATTGTTCCATGAGCAATTTTACATGGGACAAACCAAGATAAGCCTGAAAGAGTTGGTCAGTGTAAAGAGGCGATTCACTGAACCTATAGACGAATATCTAAATAGGTTTAGGTTGCTCAAGGCAAGATGCTTTACGCAAGTGCCAGAACATGAGTTAGTCGAAATAGCCGCATGAGGTCTAGATTACTCCATTAGGAAAAAATTAGACACTCAATACCTGAGAGACATGGCTCAATTGGCCGATAGAGTTCGACAGGTAGAACGCCTTAAAGCTGAAAAAGCCAGGGCGACAAAAACTCATAAAAGAGAAAGGATATCGTATGTCGAAATGGACAATGAAGATCCAGAAACATTCGACGAACCTATAACCGTCGAAGAAAGTGAGGTCGATTTAGCTGAGTTAAAACAAGGGCCACCATACTCTTGCAAACTACTAGTCCCCTCAAGTGGAAAAAACCCCACTGGTCCTGAAAGGGCCAATGATAGGTTCCCTAAAAAGACTTACAGTTTTGATATTACAAAATGTGACGAAATTTTTGACTTACTTGTAAAAGATGGCCAAATGATAATACCCCCAGGGGTAAAAGTGTCTCCTCTTGATCAAAGAAAGAAAAGAGGCTTTTGTAAATATCATAATTTTCTGGGCCATAAAACGTCTCAATGATTTCTTTTCAGGGATCTTGTACAAAATGCTATCGAGGAAGGGAGGTTGAAGTTCGCTGATAAGACTCCCATGACTGTGGACTCTAACCCTTTGCAGGCTGAAGCCCACTATGCTGAACCTTCAGAGGTGAATGTGATCGAGGCTTCCAGGAGTCAGGCGAAGAGGCCAGGAATAACTATGGTCGAAGTCACTAAAGATCATATCAACATGCCAATCTTTGGCAGTTTTTCCAGATAAAAAGTTTTAAAAATGACTACCAGATAACTCACCATTAATTTTTGTGCTTACAAAAACATAAATCACTGGTTAACTTAACAACAAGTGTTTTAGTAAACAAATTCTCTTCATCGAATAACATTTGTTAAGTTATTCGATACAATAAAAAATGTAGATAACTACTCAATTAGTTCCCCAAATACACATTGAATAACATATTTCAAGTTGTCGGATAACTTTGAAAAATATTACGGTGAGAGTATAAATTTTCATATTTTGAAAAACCTGAATGAGTAGTAAAAAATAAAATGATATATTGATTAAAAATATACTGACAAAGTTAACATATTTCATAAAAAGTATGAGTATGAAAATAAATTTAAAAGTATGAGATAAAACTTTAATATTTAAAATATATATATATATATATATATATATATATATATATATATATATATATATATATATATATATATATATATATATATATATATATATATATATATATATATATATATATATATATATATATATATATATATATATATATATATATATATATATATATATATATATATATATATATATGGGGTAAAACTTTATTTATATTTTAAAGTGTGAAAATTTTCAATGAAGGATCATAACATATTGAGTTGAAGTGTTTAACCACACACTATTACATTACAAAACGTCAATGAAAGATAGAGCCGGTTTGTTTTGACTTTTTTTAAAAATAATTTTTATAGTGTAATATAATTTTGTGTAAAAAAAAAATTTAAAGAAATTTCTCATAAAAGCTCTAAATAAAAATTTGATTTAAATAGTTATTCTTAAAATGTTATTTTAGGTAATTCATCTTTTTATTGAATTTTTTTTATATATCGAAATTTCAAAAAATCACTTAATTTTGAAACTATTTCAAATAGATTTTCATAAAAAATAATTTTGAAATACAATTTTTTGAAAAAATTACGATTTTAAATATATTTTAGTCTTCAATAATATATATTTATGTTATAGAATGTTAAAATTAGTGTTTCAATTTAGAAAAAACGAATATAAAACAACTTATAATATTTAAAAAAATATATTTGTAAAATCTTATTTTTTTTTTATAAAAAAGAAATCTATTTTTTAAAGGTGAAACAAACATGCTCAAAATGGTGTGACTGTGATGTAGGGGTCTAACTAGAAGAAGAAGAAAAAAGTCATTTTCAAATTACAATCAGCATAAATGAGCCAAATAAGCCCAATTTATCTGATGCCCCTAAAATTCTAAACGAAACGACAGCGTTACGTACATTTCATTCGATTTGATTTGATACCCTGAACCCTAATCCCTTACTCGAAAAACCTTGATTTGCAGAGGAAGAAAATGGGAGGATCACGAAGAAAATACAAGAATTCTCGACCTAAGGTTCGTGTGGGTCTTCCAAAGAAGAACCCTAAAGTTTTGAAACCCGCTTTCACCATTCCTCCCAAACTGTTACAATCCCTTGTAGAAGACCCTAAATGGGATGAAAAAGGCAGCGTCACACAAAACTACAATTCCTTCGGCGTCGTCAATGACCCTAACTCCCTCACCGATTCTCTTCGAGCTCCTCCTTCTGTCTCCGATGACCCCAACAATTCCGGCAGTGACCTCGAAGAAGACGGTATTTTCGTGTATTTTAGTATCAGAAATTGTTTATATTTTTTTGAAATGCATGTAAATTTTATGAATTTTGTGGTGTAGATTTGAAATCGGCACTGGGAAAGAGAAGAAGAGATGGTAAAAGTGCACTTCCTCAACCTTTGACTTCGATTCAGCGTCTTTATATTAGTCGGCTAGTTGAGAAATATGGAGCTGATTTTCAGGTTTGATCTGTTGTCATGTTAATTTCAATTGAAGATATATTAACATTGTAAAGTGAAAATGTTGCTGTTAGGAGGCTGTTTAATGTTTTGTTGTTATTATGGCAGAGAATGATGATGGATATAAAGCTAAATCCTATGCAGCATTCTGTTGCAACTTTAGAGAAATTGTGTATGAGCTATTACATTTACAAGAACAAGAATCCTCTTATTGTTGGAAGATGAAGTACTTTGCATATGAACAAGTGTAGTGCTGTCGAAGATTACAAACTTCTGGTTGTGAGTTGTGATGGTTGATCCATGAATGGGCAAAATGTTGTTACAATGAAGATTTTGGTTGTTTTGACACTTTGGATGTTGCTCGGGTAATATTGTTATAAAATTTTGTTGATGCTTTTTAATTTTGTATGGATTTTTGTTCGGGAAGATTAAGCATTATGGTCTTCTTGCCTGTTGCCAAAACAACGTTTTAGTATATGAAAGTAATTTTGGATGGAATGGGTTTAAAACTGTGTAGGTAGTTTGTTTTTGGGCTATGTATCACTTTTGTTGGGGAACATGAATCAATTCTGGTTTAAGTAGCCAGCTTTTGCCAAAAACAGTTAAATAAGATGGCAGTAATTTTGAATGGAATGTGTTTGGAACTGTTAAGGTAATTTATGATCATATACATGTTTGGCTAAACACATTTTGCTGTCCTTTAACTTAAATGCTTTTCATGTTTGGCTAAATACATTTTGCGGTCCTTTAACTTAGATGCTTGTTATAAGTTAATTTCTAAGTTTGTTTTGGTAACAAATCAGTCTTATGTGCACATCGTTAGCCTTTTAACCACAATATATGTCTCTTAAAGATTTGATGTGGCACGTATGTTCCGTTTTTAACGTATTCTTCGTGGATAATTTTATATTATGAAGTTAGTGTTCACTTATGGAATGAAAGAGTAATGAGAAACTTGAGAAAAATTGAAAATTAGAGAAATTTTTCTGTGTATGCCGGTAAGCAAAAGGCTTTTGGAGAGGAGATTGTATGGAAAAATAGAGATTTAAAAAAATATATTTTTTAGTGTTTTTAATTTAAATGTGTTTATTATTATTATATTTTAATTTTCAAAATATCTGGAAAGTTGATCATGAACAATATTAGAGACTTCTCAATTTCTACGGGCATGAAGATTAGCATCTCTAAAAGTTTCTTAAAGTAAAATTTATTTTGGGGATGTGGATGGTGATACTTTAAACCTCATTCAAGAGGAAAAATCGATTTTGTTTGGGTCAATGGCTTTCAAGTATCTTGGAATTCCGCTGGCTAGTAGAAAATCGATTGTCTCTTAATGTCAATTGTTAATTGATAAAATGTTAGTTTGGTTAAAACATTGGAGTACGAGACTTCTTTCTTTTGCAGGCAGAGTCAAACTTCTGAAAAAAAGTGTTATTTTCTCCATTGCTAATTATTAGATGCAAATTTTTCCCTATCCAAAAAGTTATTTTAATAGTCTTTGCACGAGCTTTCTTTGGACGGGTAAAGAAAACATAACTAAAAAACGCTTTGGTAGCCTATGATCATCTCAGTGATCCTATCTCTTCAGGTTGGTTGAACTTGATTTCTCTCTTTGAATGGAATAAAGTTACAATTGATAAACTTCTTTGGAATGTTTGTGAAAAGAAGGATAAGCTTTGGATTACATGGATACACTCTTACTACTTAAAAAAACTTAGACCCTGCAAGCTTCTGCCCGAGTATCCAATGCTCTTGGATTCTCAAAGCAATGTTCAAACATCAAGATACCCTCTTGCAATCTGAAGAGTAGAAAGAGTTCCAAATTACAAGTAAATATGTTACGAGAAAGATTCATCTTATGATGAGAGGAGGAAAATCGAAAATGTATTGGAGTAAGATCTTCTATGGAAATCTTGCTAGACCTAGAGCAAAGTTTATCTAATGGTTAACGTGCCTAGGTAGGTTACCCACCAAAGATTGTCTTCATAATTTTGGTATCAATAATGATGGTAATTGTGTGTTTTGTGAGTTACAAGAAAGTGATAACCGACTCTTCTTTGAATGTACTTTTACAAAAAAAGTTTGGTCGGATGTTCTCAAGTGGATTGACTTGTTGCATAATCCGGGGAATTGAAACTCAGAGTTGAATTGGGTGTGCCAAATAACTCGGGGTAAATGTATCAAAAATAGTCTCATAAAAATTGTTATAACTGATGTTGTTTATGCTATTTAGACAACTCGTAACAAAATTATTTTTCAGAACTAAACTATTAACTCTCTCCACAGCAGTGAAGTGATTGATGTATACTGTAATAGGAGATTAGTTGTTGAACGTGTTTGTCTTTTTGCATTTTTCGTCACTTTATCGTCTGGATCATTTTAATCGACGTAATACTTTCTCATAATTTTTGGAATGAAATTCTCTTTTATCCAAAAAAAAATTGTCCCAGTGTGAAAATTTTCATTATAACCTTGAAATTGAAATTCTTAGTCATTAATTACATCATTTTCATTGAACCTAATCACATTATACCTATTCTCACAATTGTCATCATTGTATCACTATCAAGTTTATCATTGGTATACTCTTCTTCTATGATAAATTCCATTTCCATCTCTTATGACAAAGATATCGTAGGGGTTCACTAGTGATAACGCCATCAACATTAAATTCATTCATCGTGTCTTCTTCAATATCATCAAAGTATATACCTTTGACAAACTTATCACTTGATTCACTAGAGTGATCAACATCCTTGTCAAATTTCTCTCTCATATATTTTCTTTCTGACCTGATCCATAAATGTGGAGTCACCTATCGATGTTTTAGGTTGAGTGTATATTTCAACATCACACATACTTTCCTCAGCAAAATTAAATACTTGCACTGCATCACCATCGTTCCTAAGAAATTTTAGGTCTTCTTCCAAACTACCACCATCATATTTCCACCCCAGTTTCATAACATCAACATCAAACTTTGAGTTCATCTTCTTAATTAGGTCACAAACTTCAAAATAAGATCAAAAATCAGAATTATGTCTCACTATATACATAAACCTCCCAACCTTCATACCTTACCTTAACTCATGTATTGAACATAACACAAATGGTAAGGCTTAAATTTGACATCAATGGCACAACAAAACTGTATAAACTTATAGTTAAATACAATCAACATTCTAAAATACAAAATTAAGTTTGGGTCAAATACATTCAATAGTCTACTTTACTGTATTCAATTTTAGATCTATACAAATAATACATATAAAATTTAAGATTGCGAGAAACCTTAAACTACGATTCAAAAAGGACATTGCAACTAATGGGAAACATGTGAGATCAACCTGAACTGCAAACTTGAGGAACCAGATAAAAACAGAGCTTTCAATTCATACACACCTTTAAACGAGACCTAGGGTTTTGGCGTGAAAAAAGAGGTCCGATTTGAAGGAGTTTAAAAGAACACACTCGTGAAATAAAATAAAAATAATAATAAATAGTACAATAAGAAAAAAAAAACATTAATTAATACTTATATTCTAAAATTACATGCAAATTGATACAAATTTTTATTTTTATAACTAGACTAGGGTTTCTCATACAAAATAGTAGAAGAATTTCTTAAATTAGGCTCAGATAAGCTGGATGTTGCATTTTCTCTTATATAGGGTAAGCTTTATTTATATACAAGCAAATAAATGGCTTTTAGTAGATACATATGCAATAATAGAAATATTTACTCTGATCATCAGACAATAATAGAAATATTTACTCTGATCATCAGAATTAGGCAAGAGGCAAGAGTACTCTAATTTTAACTAAAAATATTTAATGTTATCTCACAAGACGAGTATATTTCAACCTACAACTACACCATTGAATCTGAGAGGAGTTGCTTATCTACTTCTCCATTTAGATCCCCATGAATGCTCTACACTGTGTTTCCCAATGCTCCTTTGCTTGCTTCACCCTCTCTACCCTCTCCATTTGAAGTCTTTCCTCCCAGTACTCTGTGCAGCTGGAAACAAGTTGAATTTCTTAGGTTAAGATACTTGGAAATTGGAAATAGTGTGTTGATATTACAATATAAACCCACAGTAAGAATGATTGAAAACAAAGTTTAAATGGATTTTGGTATCATCTCTTCCATTTTAATTTCATTCATTTGCAAATGGAACGGATGATATCATACCTTCGGCCTAACAGAATGTTTAATTCCTCCAAGTGAACAGAACCTTGGTAAACTCCTGCCTGTATAAACAATATAAAAAGTATATTAGTTGCCAATAATAACAATAGTAATATATCTAGAGTAACAGATCAATCATACTTATTCAGCATTAAGATGGCTAAAATAAGTAAACAGTTCTTTCTGGAAAACTGTAATTAATCAATCATAGAATCATAATATCTTTTGCAATATTAAAGTATAGAAGCTCAACAATTACACAAGGGCTACATAAGCATATTCAAGAAGATCTAAGGTTTTGGTGGTAAAAATTAATAGGCCTTAACGAAGGTCGAGCTAATTTTATAGTGTCGTCATCAATTGAAAGACAGCTTAGGACAGGATCCAGGTTCTTGTTCTCATCCGCAGATATATAATTTAAACTTTAGAAGTTATTTAATCTAAAATTGTAAAATATGACAATGTCAGTCATGACTAAATGATTATTCATTGGCTCGAATGACCAATAAAGGATGAAATTATGTATCACGTACACAGATCAGTAGAAGTTAGGGATATAAAAACGGAAATCCACCCTTACGAGTGTTTGCTATATTTTGTATCTTACCGATCGACATAGAGGACATTTCTCTTTAGAATGTGCTTCCTTTAGTCCATCAACAATAGTAACAGACGCAGATGAGCAAGCACAACTGTAGCAGAATATGTGGCCACAAGACAGGGAAACTGGATCAAACACTGTGTCCTGTCATGGAAGAACCGGATGAAAACTATCAATTGAAAAATAAAAAAAGAAAGCGAAAGATCTTATGAGAGAGATGCTTTCATATAGAAAAAGAGAAATGTCATTATAATCCAAAAGAGAAATGCTTTGGACAATATAAGGAGATATGAGATTGATTCTATAAATGATGTGACATATATGAAATATTTGAATTCATTTAAAAATTAAACAATGAGAGTAAATACAATTTTTATGTGGATACATAAAACTAGGTTACAACAACACCAACCAAGCCTATCTAACTAAGTGGGGTCGGCTAGATGAGTTGATTTGGTGGTGCATATATGCAATAGAAATGAAAACATCGAAAATGGGAGTGATGCAGAGAAATGGAACAAGAGAATTGACCTAACTTACCAAACATATAGAGCAAGTCAAGTCAATATCAACTTTGATGGAATCAAAGAGCTCACAAGCAAGTGACGGTTTTCCATCCTTAAGTGTGAGATAACATCCATCAAATAATGCAGATGACTTCCTTGACTTGGCTTTAGTTTCCCTTAAGTTGATATGTAATGCCATAAGCTCAATAAGCCAGGGACTCTGAAGAATTTCCTTATGCATAGTCTGAGCTTGTGACTTGAATAATTGCCCTTGTTTGGAATAATGAATCTGGCATCATAATAGTAGTAGTCATATATAAAGAACATATAGTTAAATTAGCATGCGAAAGAAATAAGGAGGAATTGACACACCTTATCATATTTCTTGAGTATTTTGCGAATTGCAACAGCATTTATAAGTGCATAGACAACTAGATCTTTGCCTTCATGAACTAAAGTAGAATGGTTGCTTTTTGATTTTCCTTTCAATATGATGATGTACTTTTTGAATCCAGAAGCAAGATGCAGTTCCAGCAATTTCTGTGCACGCTGATTAAAGCATCCCACTATTTCTGACATTTCATTGAGAAGGCAAGGGAAAAAGGTCCCATCGCACACTGCATAATATAATTAATTCAGATACAAAGAAGGAATAAAAAATCAATGTGAACATATAAAAGCTATATATTCTGATCCAATCAATTCATAGAAAATATAACCAACCGGTAAAATTTAACAGAAAAGATCGAACGAATGATAAAAAAAAAAATACCAGCGCATTGATCAGGGCAGGTTCTATGATACGGAGAAGATCGTCGACATGTTTTCATGATCTTTTTGAGCTTCTTGAATCCAACGACGGGGAGCATCTTCTGCTCCTGGCCTCGCATGAATTCCTGATAAGTTTTGCAGAATTTCATCTTTGCGTACAAACATGGCACGATTTCCAACGATTCTTTCTTGTTCAAGCGAAGCGTTGCACGGATATGAATAAGAAGAGGAAACAAGGGTTTGAAACTCAAGTTTGAAATTTGTGGTTGCTTCTTTCTTTTAGTGCTTTCCCGTCATTATCTCCAATCCTTGATTCTCGGATCTCCACGTGTGAAATGGGATTAAGGGTATAATTGTAACACTCATCAGCAATCCAACTGATATTCATTGCCTAAAAAATATTAAATTAACTCATCAGCAATCCAACTGGAATTCATTGGCTAAATAATACTTAAATATATTTAAATATACTTGCCATATTTTTATTTGAAAATAATAAAAATTATATTTAAAAAATTATATCTAAATTTTGTCCATAAATTAAATTTAACATACTTATATCTAAATTATAAAAAATTCCTATAAAAGAAAATTCCACGCTGGAAATAAAGGTTTCGTATTCATGTTATGAAAGAAAAAAAGATTTCGTATTCAATGACGACTTTTGTAGAATGTGATTGCCGCAATTAAAAAACAAAACAATGATTACTTCAATTCAGCAGAATCAGCACCTTGTTTTCATTTTCTATAATAATATAATATAAAAATAACTTTCTTTATATATGGCCACGTTTTGTTGCGTCTGGAGCAAGTGAAGCAAAAGAGATATATAGAAGAGAGAAAGGGTAACTAATTCGGTTACGCTTTTCAGAATGGCGAGTTCCGATCAACCAGAGAAAGCACAACCAGTGATGATAGTTGCAATCGACGAGAGTGAACACAGTGCTTACGCTCTCAAATGGACTCTCGATCATTTCTTCAACAACAACAACTCTGTTTTCAAGCTTGTTCTTCTTCACGCTAAACCATCCGCTACTTCTTCTGTTGGTCTCGCTGGCCCTGGTATATGTAACCCTAGTTCCTTTTCTATTTCGTTCACCGTTGTTATTGTTATTGATGTTTTTGTAATTGAATGAAGTGTATGCAGGAGCTGCTGAGGTTTTGCCGATTGTGGATTCTGATTTGAGGAAGATTGCGGCTAGAGTTGTTGATAGTGCTAAACAGCTTTGTGTTAAGAAATCGGTATTTCTATTTTTGTTTTCGATTTCATGCTGCTTTTCAATCTGTTTGTTTATTTTGCCATGAACGGTTAAGAAACAACAAGAAAAATAGGTTGAATTTGTGATGAAACTCTTTAGGAAAATTAATATATGATCAACGGAAGAGTGTTATTGTTTGTTAATTTCTTTGATCAGTGATGTTACTCTTTATAAGCTATGTAATCCAGGTACCTCTGAAAAATGGCGTGTCCGCGTCAGTGTCAAACACCGACGCGACAAATATACTGATGTTTGTGATTATTTTTATTTATTGCCGTGTCTGTATCGCGTTCATGGTGTCCGTACTTCATAGTTTATTAGGTCCCTGTATTTACATTGAGTGTATGGTTTATGGTTTTAGAAAGATTTTCTATGAAGTGCTATTTTGGATTATAGGTTGAAAAAGATTCATACTTGAATTCATCATGTTTTATGATAGTTTCTGTGAATTTCTGTTCTGTTATTGGTGTGAAATTATTGAGTTGACACGTTCAATGATGCCCCTGGTCAGGTTTAATGATATCGTGTGTATTAATATCATCCTAAAATATTTTTTTCCTAGTTTGAACCTAAGGAAAACATATATATTATAATGTTTTAAGTACTTTATATATAAGATATGTCTATAATTATTTGATAATTGATTTTCTTAGGTAAATGATGTCATAGTGGAGGTGGTGGAAGGTGATGCTAGGAATGTTCTTTGTGATACAGTGGAGAAATACCATGCTTCAATATTGGTTGTGGGAAGTCATGGTTATGGGGCTATAAAAAGGTATGGTTTCATTTTGGTTACATTTATCATCCTTGGTTTGCTGTGATATGTGACTGTAACTGAATGATAATGCATCCTTTTCTGAAACTAGTGAGTGATATGTGACTGTAACTGAATGATAATGCATCCTTTTCTGAAACTTGTAAATGGGTTATGCCATGAATATGCTGAATTTAGTTCTAAGATTTCCAATTACGCCAATTTCATCACAGTATCACCAGACACAAAGTTAAGTTGCCAAAAGCATAAATAAACTGCAATTTCCCACACTTCAATCCATTTAGATAACTCTTTATATGATCATCATTTCTATCACACGACTTGTCTTGTAAGTTTATCTGACCTTTACATTTTATTTATTATGGAGAACATGTGCATACATTGTTGCTTATAAGCAAACACTTAACTTCATAATCTCCTAATCCAGTTATACTTTTTATATGCAGGGCGGTTTTAGGTAGTGTGAGTGACTATTGTGCTCATCATGCTCATTGCACCGTCATGATTGTGAAGAAGCCAAAAATCAAGCACTGATCTATACTGGCACATCCTTCAAAAATAAATATGTAAAACAGCAACATTCTCAGAAAGTTTATGACTTAGTTTGTCCTATGGCATATTGGCTTTGTAGTTTATGATAGAAAGTATGTGACTGTTGGATTGTTGTTGCCCCTACCTGGGCTTTACTTTGTTTTGTATATGAAAAACTCAGATTAATGTGTCTATAAAAAGTGTTTTTCTCTTTCTGAAATTTAACTGATAGTAACAGAAACATATTCAAAGAATTCATATTCTCTCAATTTTGTTGATCAATCTTTATTCTAGATGGAATTATTCTTCTACTTATTCAAATATGTCCTGTTTTGAGAATTCTTTCCATACATCGGAAGACAGGTCCCTAACAATGACTCTCAATAGAAGAGCCATTATGTAACAACACTGTAATGCACACAAATTATAGAAACTACTACTGAAATGAATGTCCAAGAGAAGCAAGTGATGAATCTTCCTTGAGTTTAATATCACCAACTAGAGAGGTTCTTGAGCCATTCAAAAATTGCTTATACCATTTTGCGGAGAGCTTTGGGTATCTTCTCAACTCTGGATCATTCCTATCAACAGAGTATAGTCCAAAGCCCGATTTATATCCATCAATCAACTCAAATGCATCCATGAAAGACCACACAAAATACCCCTTTACATTTTATCCATTTCTGAAGGAAAAAAAGACATGAATGATCAGACAATGTAGTGTTTATTTCTGTTGTGTCTATTTTCATAACTGTGTATTTTGGACATGGTTTTCATTTACCGGATAAGTAACTTGTTTCAAAGATATTTTTGAGATCTTATTTTTCAAAAGATCTTATTCCACCCTCGATACATCATGGAGTGATGCATTGCTTGCTGCCCATTGGCCTAAAAAGACAAGTATTATGAATGGTTCACCAAATCCCTTGAAGCTTAATTTTACAACTCCATACAATTAAAGATAGAAAACACTTGAAAATCATCCTATGCAACAACATAGTTATAAAGTTATTTGGCTCTCTATAACAAAGAAAACCCTTTGCGCCGCGATTTATTATTCAATATGAATCAACATCCAAAGACGATATCCTAAAAGAGACTCATTGCAATCAATGTAATCTTGAATGAAGGGTAAACGTACCATTTTCATAAATGAACATATGTGGATTGCCATAAAGTGTCTTGAATGTTTCCAGCACTTCTTGTAAAGCCGATGGTGCCATAAGGTACTGAGTCAAGTCAAGCCAGATAGTTGTATAGCAAATTAATCCAGTGATTGAATCAATTATTAATTAAGATGATAATTGTAATAAGTATTTTAACTGTTACCTCTTCGACTGCAAGTATATCCTGTACAGCTGCAAAATCATGGAAAACAAGGGAGTGATTCAATTTGCTCCACCAATTATTCAACAAGTCATAGACATGGTTGCGTGCACTTACTAAAAGGGGATTCAGATGCCAAATGATGTTAGAGTTCAACAAGTTGAAAACATCATAGTCATGACAAAAAAGATGGAGTGAATACAATTAGTACAGCAAGTATATATAGTTTTAATCTTTAAAATCCACTGCGCTTAAACATAATAAAGCACATACCTAGTAGATTTGCACCCGTGTCTGCACTGAAATCTCTTAGTTTTGTGTTCAGGGCATCAGAATTGTCTGATACATTAAACTTGGTGTAGTGAATAATGCCAATAAAGTCGTAGGAACCCTTAACCTGTTTAGATTCACGAGTTTTGAATGTTGGTATTCTTGCGCCAGCATTTTCCTTCATCAAATGGGGTTAGTCTCCGTGCAACAAGTGTTCCATAAACCTTTGATAAAATAGGCTTATATGACTTAAATGTTTAAAGTAAGAAGAGAAAATATTACAATCAATTTTAGTGTCAGTAACTCACCAACCAAAATAAAAAGTACGGATTCGTTCACATGCTGCCCTGTCTTTCTCTGTATTTGTCTGAGGAACTATCCCAAATGTATAGAAAGAGATGCCAACAAATCCATGTTGTTGCTCCTGCAATGTGATTAATTAATTAGTTTCTATGAAAGCATGAATATTACTTGCCTACAAAGCTTCAGTACTTGGTATCAATCTGGACCAAGAAATGGAAAATCTATAGGCATGAAGGCCTGTTTCAAGCATGAGCTGCACATCTTCCTGCATTATTGTTTGTATTGTCTTAACCAACTAATGCTTGAAATTAACAAATGAACCATAAAGCTTTATGTATCGTTCGTTTACCTTGTATTTGTGGTACGCGTGGCAGGCTACATCTCCATTTCCACCATGTGCAAATCCTTAAACTGCAATATCAAATCATATTCTAAAATTGATCGGATGAATGATAAGATGAAATATGAAGAAAAGAAGGATTAAATTAATAACCGAACCAGCGTGAGCAAAGGTATCCCAAATGCTAGGAGTTCTTCCATCTTCATCAGCAGCTCCTTCCACTTGATAAGCAGATGTTCCTGAACCAAAAATAAAATCAACCGGAAAGTCACTTCTGCTATAGTTATTATGATCAGTAGTAGAAAACACCCATGCAGACAAGTTTAGAAACAAAAGGAAAACAAGGGTGAAATAATTTCGTGGTTCCATGTTACTATTGATTCATCAAATGAATACACGGTGAGCTAACGTGAATACTGAATTAATGGTGACAAAAATCAATGTCTCCGAAGGATAAGAAAGAGACAGATAGAAGCTTAGCAGTTACAGCCAGCATACGTACATCGCTTTTCCTCTCTAAATACTGATCTTCTAAAAGTTCAAAATGAAACATTGATTGATGGATAGAAAGCAAAACCTAAACCACGTTCTTCTCCCCAACATTGTGTGTGTGATTTTGACGGATTATAATTCTATTCCTAAATATTATTTTTAGGAATATCATTTCACGAATTTTATTTTTATTAATGTATTTGATAAATAAATATAGTTTTAAAGAATATCTTTTAAATTTTATTTTAATTAAATTTTAAAATTAAAAATAAATATATTAAAATAATATGAGTGTGAGAAGTAATAATTGGTTATTTTATATTTCTATGAAAATATAAGATTTTCATCCTTTGACATGAGAATAAAAATAGAGAAATTCATTAAGAAGTTATATTTCTAGAAATAAAAGTACTCAAAAATTATTAATTAAAATTTGAAATAAATAAAGAAATATGTGAGTTTCGATATCACATTTCCAAAGAATAACTTTTGGATCCATGAAACAAACACACACTTAACAATTGTATTGTGTTAACATGTCTAATTTTATAAAAAAAAATATTTATAAAATTCATAAATGACAATGCGGAGGAATTAACATCTCACCCGTTTAATTATACATGTCACCCCATATTTCATTATTCTCGGAATGTCTTTTTTACAAGTTACTCTAAAAAATTTATTATTGGTCAAAAAATATTTATTATTGGTCAAAGTGGGTCAAAATGAAATTTCCCGTAGGCTTACCAAATTTTTGGTACCCAATTTTGACGTATATCAGAAATACTTTACATTTTGCAAATTTTCGATTGCGAAATACCGAAAATTTCTAAATTTCCAGGATGATTTCCAAAAATCATTGCATAAACCAGAAATTACACAAATTTTCGAAAGTTAGCGTAACACCAAAATTTTCAATTATGTATGAAATTTTCGGTATGTCTACAAATGAAATTTTTCGGCTACCACTACTGAAGATTGTTGGTGTTCCATCAATAAAATTAATGTTTTTAGTTGCATTTGCCTATTTAGAACATGAAAGGAAGGAGAACTACATATAGGCACTACAGAAGCTCAAAGAGTTGTTCTATACAGAGAAATTGCTTCTGAATGTTGTGGTGACGGACCATGAACTTGCATTAATGAATGCCATGAATTTCGTGTTTCCAAATGCAATTCATATGTTGTGTACATTCTATATTTCAAAAAATGTGAGCATGAAATGTAAAGAATACGTGAAATCAGAAAGACAAGAATATGTCATGGATCAATGGAACAACATCATGTATTCAAATACATAAGATGAGTTTGGTGTACATTTCAAGCACTTTGAGAGTGTTTGTGGTGATATTCCATCTTTTGAGAGTGTTTGTGGTGATATTCCACAAAAGATTTCAAATGGATCATTTCAAATTCTCCTCTATGATCACTTCTGACTTTCAATTTTTTTTCCTTTTCATTTTGTACTTGTATGCAGAAGATTCTAAACGCATTATATGACTCATCTTTAGTTCTAAGAAATTTAACCCAAGTCCATCTACTATAGTCATCAACTATGACTAATCCATATTGCTTCCCATTGATTGATGCAACACCAACTAGACCAAATAAACCAATGTGAAGTAGCTATAAGATTATGGAGGTAGATACTATGTTCTTTGTTTTAAAATAGGTTTTTACTAATTTTCTCTACTTGGCATGCTTATAAAGTGATCTAAGTGATAATTAAGTTCTGGAAATCCTTTGACAAGTTTTAACTTGCTAAGTTTAGATATTAATATCCGTTAGCATGACTTAACCTTCATTTTCAAATCCACTTCTCATCACTCACTGGTAAAAGACAAAGTACCTTATGATCAACCAATTCAGAGAAAATAATTTTATAGACATTGCATTTTCTCTTACCTTTGAACACTATGGACTTATCAGACTCGTTCATGACTATACAGTTGTTCTTATTAAAAAATATTTCATAACCACTATCACAAAATTGACTAATGCTCAATAGGTTGTGTTTTAGTCCATCTACTGATCATACATTATTAATTGAAATGGAAAAATTACCAATAATATATGTATTAATGATTCTTCCTTTCTAGTTTCCTCAAAATCTCGCAGTTCCTCCCTCATTCAGAGTTAGGGTTTGGAACATATGCCTTTATCCTATCATATATCGTGAGCAGCCACTGTCCAGGTACCAGGACTGCTTTTTTGCTTCTCCCTTGAAACATATCTAATGCAAAGACAATTTCAGATTTAGGTACCCATAGTCTTATGGGTCCTTTGGGGTTAGTTATGAAAGGCTTCTTCTTACTTTGTACCTTATCTTTCATGTAGAAGGGCTTTGGATCATTCAAGACTCTTGGTTTAAAAGTTTTGGATCTTGAGTCAATCTTAGCCTTTGGTTGTGAACCTTTCAGAACCTTAGATCTGATTTCTTAAGTTATGGTTTGTTCAGAACTTTTGACTTTGGAGTCTTTGGTTCTGGTTTATTCAAAACATTTGACTTTGAAGTACTAGATTATGAATTGTTCAGAACTTTGGACTCTATAATCTTTGGTTCTGACTGGTTCAAAACCTTTGCTTTGTCAGCAGTTGGTACAAAGTAAGAATATAGCCCTTCATGTGCAGAGCTTGAGCAAGAAGGTTTCATTGGTTTAACCAAGGTCTCCATCCTTGGATTGAAAGGTTTTTGAGAATAACCAATTCCCTCTCCTTTTCTATTGCTAACACCATAAATCATAGAAGAAAGTTTTGTACCTTCAAATCCATTTATGACAAATTATAGAAGAGCAAGTTCATGCTCATTAGGAGATTTATCATATATCTTTTCTACTTGAGAAATTTGATTTTTTTTCTTTCTAAATCTTCATGTCTAATTTAAAGAGATTTTAATTCATCTGTTTTTAGCTCAAATTTCTTTTTCAAAATTTCGACGTGTTTGGCTTTTTGTTGACAATGACCCATAAGGTATTGAATAAGAGTAATTAAACAAGAACGAGATAGTTTAAAAAATACCTTATATTCTTCTTTAGAATCTGAATTAGAGTCTGAGTCAAACTCTGTGTTTGAAGATGTTAGAGCCATCAAATCTAAATTGGCTTCTTCATCATCTTTATCAAATTCTTCTTCTTTGTCAAGTTCATTCCATGTTTCCCTGAGACTCTTCTTAAATTTGTTTCTGAATCTGTATTTCTTATAGCTTGTTTTATTTGACTTATTCTTCTACAACTCTGGATAGTCAGCAATGAAGTGACCAAGCTTTTTACAATTGAAGTGTCATTTGTAGTTATCTTTCTTGTATATAGAACTTGATCCTCTAAAGTCAATACTTCTTCCTGAGGACATTATGTTCTTCTTATCCAGACACTAAAACCTTTTGATTAAAAATGCCATCTCTTTATCATATGATCCTTCTTCAGAACCTCCTGCAGAAGCAGCTTCTTTAGGTTCCTAGACTTGAGGAGACTTGGTAGATTGACCAAAATATTTCAAGGCAAGAGACTTGGATTTCTTTGAAGGTTCATCTCCTATGAGCTCCATATCATGATCCTGGAGATTGCTTATCAAGCTTTCAAGACTTATTTTGTTCAAGTCCTTAGCTTCTTAGATGATTGTCACCTTTAATCTATATATGACAAGAAGACTACTAAGAATATTCTTGACATGAGCAGAATTTGTATAACTTTTGTTCATAACTTGAAGTCCAGATACCAAAATTTGAAACCTTAATAACATGGTTTCAATATTTTCATCTTCCTTCATTCTGAACAGTTCATATTGTTTGACCAAAAGATTAGCCTTTGCCTATTTCATTTGGTGTTTTCCTTCATAGGTAGCACACAAGGATTCAAAAATGGTTTTTGAAGTAGACTTTTCAATTACCTTGAGGTACTAATAGTGATGTAAAACATCTACCAGAATTCCACACACTCTGTGATGTTTCCAATAAATCTTATTTTAATAAGGTGTGCATGTTTTTCTATCAACAACCATTCATACTCCATCAACTGGAATAATAATGAAATCTTCTTTTGATAAGGTGCACGTCTTTTAGATTTTCTTTAAATGTTTTTCAATACCAGTATTAAGCTTATATCATAAATTTTGGTTAATGGTCTTGCACACTTGAACATATATTAGTACATCCAATTGTTCTTTAAATAGTTTTTATCACCAAAACCTTAAAGATATGATACAAACTAGTTTTGTTCCAACAAGGTCATTGAAATCGAGCTGGTATGCAGAAGAACTCTCTAAGACAAGCGATTCTCGCTAAATGAGTTTGGTGTAGCAAAACCCACTTAGTGCACCACATAACTCACTTAGAAGATGGTCTGCAACTTTCATTATTCACTTGTTGTGCTTGATCAAATTCACACATATTCAAAAAAATACACATTCATTCAACATAGATGAGGTCCTAACAGATACTAAGATGTTTTTAGATTTGGACATGCTCATGTACTCAGTACAAAATAGCCAACATGTCAAATTCTTTTTGTCCATGGAATTTAGTAAAATACGTAAAACACCCAAATTGTTCAACAAATGTTAAGATTAGGGGTGGAAAAATGGGTCGTGGCCTGTCAGACTGACTCACGCACCCGCCAAAAAATGGCGGATTGAATTGGGATTTTGGACCCGCCTATCCATTACAGCCCACCCTGGACACTATCCGTAACCCACCCCACGCACCCGTCGGGCCGCCCGCGGGCCATGACCCATTTTTCCACCCATTGGTTATGTGGCATTGCATATAAGTCAGAGATATCAAGATGATGTTGTACAATTCCATTTTGGTAATGTTGGTTCTACATTGCAATAATAAGTTCATCATCTTCCAGCGGTAGACGATCAAAAGTAGCATGATGAAC